TTTGGTACTCTTGCGGATTTTTGCAATTTTTTCTTTTGTTTTGAATTTCCACCGAAACAATTTGGACTCTGGTTTCAAAAAGGCTTCAAAAAGGAGGGGGTGGATTTCGTTGCTCTGGGCACAACTTGAAAAGCATGAAGAAGATTTTTCATCCCAACCTGGTACATGTATTAACCATGGTCGGAAGTGGTGCCTTTTGCTATTTTGCTATTTTCCCTGTTTCAGTGGAAAATGTTGTGGGCTTTCTCAGAGTTAACAACTCGAAACCGTTCAATATCTTTTATCAAAACTTGGCGAATATATCAAACAGATCCTTAGCAGTGCCTTTTGCTATTTGCAGGTTTTATACATTTATATATTTTTTCCATTCCAGCATGCAACATGCTGTAACCAATGGCGCCTTTTCTTATTTATGAATTTTAAGAAAATATATTTGTTTCCTGTTTCCATGGCACCAAATTGACTTTGATTCTGTTCACAGTGATGTGTTTGGCTGAACCATATCTGTAAAACTAATAGGTATTCTTTCATGAACTCTGTGTGCACACAAAGGTCTGGTTGTGAAATGGTGCCTTTGTGCTACTTTTTGTTGTTAAGAATTTATGTTGTGTTTGTTTCTATATGGTAACATGTTTGATTTTTTGTCTTTGTCAGGACCATATCGCGAAAGAGTATTATGCATTCTTTCATGACACTGTACACACACAAAAGCCAGGATGTCTAATGCTGTCTTTTGGCATTAGGAATTAATCAAATTTGCATTTTTCCTGTGTACAAAGCCGCGAATCCAGATGAGACAGAATAATCTCTCATCAAGTAGGACTTTAAGGAACTGTCAGATGATTTGTAACTTTAAAATTTGTTCTGATGACTCTTTTTTATGCATAATATACGGGATCCTAATTTGTAGAAATTTCGTATTACTTCCAAAGAAGAAAACACACTTTTGTCATGTTCATATCGAGATCATTCACACACTAACATATTTGCACATTTTAAATTGTGGCTGTATACTAGAATACACAAAATACTAGAAAAAATATTGTAGCAACACATGTGGTTCAGTGTTTTCATAGGTCATGAGTTTGGTCAAGGTTATTCAACCGAAAGTGCTTTTCAAATGGCAGTTTCTTTCAGACTGTACGGAAGCGGTGGTATTACACCACCGGAAATGATTATGACATTCTTCTATTATCTGAATTAGTATGCACTTCCTTCAAGTGTCTGTCATGATGATATTATGTCTAAAATGGTCATAACCGTTTTCCTTGCAGCTTTGGATGCTGGAGCAGAACTTGGGCAAGAGATTTCCGTGGATGTACAGACTGTCAAATCAACAATGTCAGTAAGTGAAATACCAAATTGTATGTAAAGATACTTAAGAGTAATGTAATGAAAAAGAGAAAAGTTCTGATTCTTTCAACTTTTAGTGAATGAGATTTAGACAACTGGAAGCACAATGGGTAGACATACTACACAGTGAATGGAAATGGACATGAACTCAGGCGATTGTTCCACTGCCTCACTGGGTTAAGTGTAACTAAAAAAATAGTTGTTCTCTGACAATATGTTACTACAAACATGGACATGAGTTCCTTGAAATAAGAATTATTTATGTTTTGTCGTTCTGTTTTGCATTAGACAAGTATAGGTCCATTTGTTGCCGGAAAAGTCAAAGCATCGTTTGGCATATCGATCATAATTGCATCTGCTGGAATATCACTCACTGGATGGCTGATGAAAACAAGTTTTCCTTTCGTACTGGAGATGAACTACGCAAAAGTACCAACAGTTGCCACGTGAGTACTTTTTTTAATCACTGCATTATAGCAAACGAAGATAAGGTATGGGGCATGTTCTATGCATAGTTTCTGTGGTATCAAATCATTGACGTTTTGGTGATTATTATATTTTTCAGTGTCGGATCCAACTTTCGAATGATGCAAGAAATAAATTTGCATTAGTAAACTGTCCAAAAGTACTCAAATACAACTTCCTTTGAAAACATCCGAAATAGGGATTATTCCTGACATACCGTGAAAGTCATTCCATACAGTAGCCTTAGCTATCGCCTTTTTGGTCTATCAGGAGACAATATGAGTATATGTTGTATGAATGAAACAGCTTAGAAAATTGGGTTACTATGCAACTGAATTATAAGATAATTCTAACCTTCATCAACGGCAGGCACGTGTCTGAAGGAATGATTTGCTAGCAGTATCACTTCACACTATTTGTTTGTGTGGTTGTTGTTTACCGTCGCACTCAGCAACAATAGTCCACCTATATGGCCGCGATCTAAAAATAATTGAGTCTGGACCAATCCAGTGATCAGCAGCATGAACATCGATCTACGAAATTGGGATACGATGAAATGCGTCAAACAAGTCAGTGAGCCTGACCATCCAATCCCCTTAATCGCCTCTTACGACAAGTGGGCTTCTGAAAACCACCCGGATATTCACGGGTGCACATCACAGTCTGATTTGTAGGGTAGAATCTCCATATTATTGACAGGATGTTGTGATTGGCTTATGCTTAAGGGATAAGATATAATCACTCTTGTTATGGTTCCACTTATTGGTCATAATTGTTGTGGATGTGTCCAACCTGTTTCCTTTATGCTAACAGTCCTACTGAACATGGTGAGGACCTCCCATGGGAAGCACTTTAGTTGGAGTTAACATACATGTACTTGTTTAGCAGATCTTGAGGTAAAAGGTGGAACAACGTTCTTCCTCACAAATTCTTGTGTGAAACATCGTGTTGTTGCAGAGTGTTGTAAAATAAGCGTCTGCTGTATGATATTTCCAAAGGTACCTGTGTTTGGACAATCCGCATGCGTTTCTTGTACCCCTAATTGTTCTTCCACTATGCTGTATTTCATTGCTCAGTAAGTTGCCTTTTGTTTTACTTGCGCCTATATACTATCATATAATCCATATCGATGTAAAACGATAATAGATTCAATCTTTAATTTCAGAAAAAAACTTAATGTCGAGCTTACACCACTTGAACTACGACTAAGAGCATGGGTAAAAATACTTTTCATTATCAACATGCATTTTGACATTTGGCACTGGCGAAGCCCCACATACACTGGCACCATGTGGGAACACCAATATGATATAAACGATAACACTCCACCAAGATTCCCCAACTGTGACCACAGGAAGAGGTCATTGTCAGGAACCTGTACTGTCCGGCAACTTGATGGAAGGCATCCCAGTGACACAGCATTCATCCTGGAAGTTGACAGTGGGGATGAAAATAGCCCTCTCACTCTTCACTATAGTATTGGTACTTCTCGAGGTGGAAGAGATGTGAAGTCACTGGTGGAGATGAGAGGACCCTCCTTAACAATGCCCACGGTTTCATTGCCTCATGGAGTACCTTTGTATTGGACAATAAGGGCTAGGAACACTCAAGGTATTGAGGCAACGGCTATGTGCATGCTCCACACCTATGACAATACAGTTCCAGATGGGAGGGTAGATGCTGCCTATCAGTTTACAAGTCACAGAACGGTGATCCAAGCCAACGTTGTCGTATTCGAAGATTCTCCACTAACACCTAATCACTCAGTTGCTGTGGGATACAGTCCTGGGGAGTTCGGAAAAGAAATTTTGGATTGGCAAATTCTGTATCTGGAAAACACAAATACGAGAAAAGGTGTTATGTCCGAACTGAAAAAATTTGCCCCATCTAAGCCTGGAAAGTTGTCGTCTGCTCCATTTTCTACAGCTCATGCAGATAATGACATTGAATGTGCAAGACTGTGTTTACAGACAGGTTCAAAGTGCATTTCATTTGACTATGAAATGCATACTCAGTCTTGTGATCTCCAAGAAACAGTTGTCGGAGCTAAGGCGAAACTTCGTGCTGCTGCTTCCTATTTCCACTATGAAAGACTTGGAGTTGGTTACAGTGCTTTTCGGGACTTCTCTCACTCAAACCTTGAACATGGCGCCCAGTATTTTATAAATGCAAAGATCACCAACACTCTAGGATACGTTGCCTACCTGCCATCAACTGGGACTCTAGCTGACTTTACTCCACCTGAACCTGGTCCTGTAGGAGAAGTTGTTTCAGATGTGTTTACAGCTGATGGATGTAAGGCAGCTGTAACTCAAAGATGCATCGATGTCACCAGGGAGCTCAATCACAGGTAAAACTGCCACCTTTGCACTCTGCACTATGACAACATAAACATGTTAAAACATCCGAAGAGAATATTATTTTTTTGACGTGATGTCTTTTACAGAAAAATCATTGATGGGAGTGCTGGAAGAACGGTTTTTTGGAGGCAACAAACCTCTTGAAGATACAAAATACACACTCGCAAACAACTATATCTCAGGTAATGTACTTAAACACACATGCCAAGTGTCACTATGAAAATCTGACATACAATGCCTGTGGAAGACCCATTGGGTAATGATAACATTTCCTTATGTAACTGTGGATAATTTGTTCTGTGTGGTTTGTTGTCATCGGTATATCTATGTTTACTTTTTACAGGAAACTGCGATGGCTTCCACGACGACGAAAGTGGTATTTGGGGCTACACGTGGGCAGCTGGGACGTCTGTGTGTGGGTCTGATGTCGTGAAGTTCACTGATCCTCACGCTCAGCTGCAAACCAGGCAAGACTGGACCTATACCGGACTGGGCAAGAACCTCCATCTGGCTGATGGTCAGTATTATATTACCTTCCAAGCTATCAACAATGTTGTACACGGAGGAGCCTTGGTTACAACAGTGTGTCACTCTACACCTGTGACAGTTGACACTACACAGCCCGTTGTACATGAGGTAGGGGATTTGCTGTTTGATGAGGATTTTGATATCTTGGGCGTCTACTTCAATGTATCGGACGCTGGATCGGGTATTGCCAGGGTGGACTTTGGTCTGGGCAAAACAAAGTATGATGTATTTGTTAGATCTTACAGCCGTCATCCCTTCCTGAACCGAGCTGACCCATACCTTGTGATAGAAGATCTTGGCTTGACACCTGGTGTCCAGGCTTGGGTGCGGATCAGAGCCGTTAATTCAGGTAAGGAGAAACCACTGACATAATAGACAGACACATTTAAAATAATTAAAATTAAATTGAAACTGTTCGTGAGACAAACATTTATAACATGTTATTGTTTGTTATTTATAGTGGATCTCTCCACTGCAAGCCATGGTGATGTTCCGATACTCATTGACTTTACACCGCCAGTCGTTGGTAAAGTTCTTGATGGGGACAAACTGCTCGAAGATGTTGAATACCAACATAACACTCAGATGATCTGTGCACAGTGGGTCGACTTCTATGATCCAGAATCTGGTATTGACAGGTATGTGAAATCAATTATGTCTCAACTTCACCTTTGTCTGTGATGACACAATGCACCTGTATGCATCTCGCACCAATATGTGAATGAAACACTTTAAACATATGCGCATGTTTATACCATTCGCATTGACGATCTAGACGAGTTCCAACACTAGCATGGTATTTCATCTGTCATAGTGATTGTTTAGTTGCTAAAGAATAATGTTGCAATATACTTGTACTTTCAGTTATCTCTGGGGTGTTGGAACAACAGCTGGAGCTGATGACATTCTTCCATTTACAAATTTTACGCATCAAGTTAAATCTGGGTGCAACGTCACAGCTCTGCACCACAATACAACATACTATTCAACAGTTGTCGCTTTCAATGGGGCAATCAATCAGAAGGAAATTCAGGCAACATCTAATGGAGGTATGTTTGCTAATCGAACATATTGTTTTACGATGTCATAAGCCATATTTAGTGGTCCGTAAGAGGATCTGAAAGTGCAGAAGATAATCAGGAAATAAACCCATCTGCAGAACAATTTAGGACATGATAAAACATTTGAATACACAAACGTATTGAGAGTTATTTCCCCTAGATGTGATGTATTAACATCCTGACAATGACGTGTGACATTTATTCTAGGAAAGGAAAATATGGCCGGTATTTTGAAAATGGTATAGCAAAATTATGACAATTCCTATAGACTGACAAAAGTCATGGTATACTGTTGTATAGTAGATAGTGTACATATGGATGCCGCAATGTGATTTTACTCTGAAAGAATGGACGGGTATACCTATTGTCTTCTGTTTCAGTGCTGGTAGACGTAACACCTCCACTGCTGGGGTATGTCCAGGATGGTCCTGATATTGTGAATGATGTGGAGTTCAGTTCTCAGACAGCTACTATTGAAAGTGCCTGGGACAACTTCACTGACCCAGAAAGCCATGTACAAGAGTACACAATGATGGTATATGTAAATGATGAACTGAAAAAGAAGTTCCATATTGGATCCATGACCAGTTACACTGACCATACAATTGACACTAAACACAAGGACCATGTCCGAGTTCAAGTCACAGCAACAAATGGAGCAGGACTTGAAACTCAGGCAGACAGTAATGGGTATCTGGTTGACGAAACACCACCCAACATGATGTATATACAAGATTCTCAGACAGGCAAATACCAAAGTGATTCCTCACACCTTGGCGTCAAGTGGTATTTTACAGATGAAGAGTCAGGCATCTTGGAATACAGATACACCATATTTGAGAAGATTGGCGGTCAGAAGAAAAGGTTTTGGCCAAAGGATGAGACATTTGCTGTCACTGAAGTTGAAAAAGCAGACATACAGTTGGATTCCCTTCCTCTTACAAATGGGGCCCAATATACAACATCAGTCACAGCACTCAACAAAGCCCTTCTTGCAACGTCAGTAGAATCAAGTGGAGTTGTTATTGACACAACACCGCCCACAGTAAAGAAAGTGAGTATCCATCATCGTATAAACTTTATTTTGCAAGGAAGTTTGAATCACTAATGATTAATTTTATTCTGTTTTCAAGACAGCAATCAGGAACAATCATGCATACCCAGTGTATGGAGCAGTTTTCAAAACCTTTTGCAAGTTTATAAGCACACAAACTGTTCCTGTTGAGAATTTTCTGCAATACAAAACGTATTCATTTGTGCAATATAATAACGCATGCCTGAAGCAAATACACCTGTTATTAGGTACTTGAACAGTTGTTTCACGTGTTGTAGGTACTAATCGGTCTCCCTGGGCAAGAGGAGGAGCTTGATGACTTCGGAAATGTAATCCACATGGAGGATCAACCGATGCATGTGTCTTGGACAGCTCGTGATCCTGAGAGTGGTATCTCTCAAAATCTGCTTTGTGTGAAGAACAATGTCATACAGTGCACTCGAAGTGAGCAGTTTACCAACTATGGAAGCACATCATCTGTAACATTGGAAGCTCTCAATCTTATATCAGATGACAAGACTCAGTACGTTGTCGTTATCAGAGTAACAAATGGAGCAGGCTTGACAGCAGAAGCTTCATCAAAGCCAATACATGTAGAGAAGGGAAACTCCCCTGGAACAGTCTATGATGGTCGAAGTATCAGTGAAGATACAGATTTCCAGCAAGATCTTTCAAGTCTATCCATGTCGTTCGATGGCTTTGGTAGTGATGCGTGTGGAATAACCGGCTATGACTGGGCGATTGGAACACAGCCATACCTGAGTGACATAATGCATTACACAAACTATGGACTTACGATGGTCAGCGACAGTTCAGGATATGCTGAAATAACAAATACAAACTTCAACAATGTGAAGTACTATGTTACAGTCCGGGCTATAACTGGTGTGGAATGTCCAGACTCGTACATCGTATCATCATCGAATGGTGTAACGGTTGACCATGAAGTTCCTGTTATAAATCAACAGTACAGAGGTCAAATGATGTCTTCCTCAGTTTTGTTTTTAAACCAAACAACAACTCTACCAATATCATGGTCTGTAGAGGATGCAAATATCATGCCTGTGATATCCTGGTCAATAGGGAGCCTCCCAGTCTCTGGTGAAAAACACACTGTTAATATTTCAAAGTCGGGTCTTGATCCATTGGACGTACGTCTTTCAGCAAACAACACATATTTCGTGACAACATATGGCTCTGATATGGCAGGCAACACGGCTTTAATGAGTTCACCGCCAATCACAGTTGATAAAACCCCCGTCTCTATTATTGACTATGAGTGTACACCTTTTGTATCAATGATGTCAACAATTGTCACTTGTTCTTGGAGGTTTTTCGAAGAAGCAGAAAGTACCATCACTAACGTAACAATCACAGCACGTACAGGACAAGGCAGCTCGCATATATTAGTGGTTAGCAGGCTGTCGGCAATTGAGAGACGCTGGAGCTTTGACACAGAGGGAGTTTTGCAAGATGGAGTTTCATTCCTGTATATAACTCTGGAAATTGAAAATGGTGCACATCTACGCAGCAAATTCTTCAAAGAAATTGTCTTTGATCAGACACCGCCAGCCGACGGGGAACTCTCAGTAGTTACATCATCTAATCCAGCATCAAAACAGGAAGTAGTCTGCCAGCAACAAACGACGTACATGTCTGTCTTTGTGAATGGATTCAACGATCCCGAATCACAGATAGACAGGTGAATTACAACTTTGCTACATGAATAAAACTGACAGTTAAGATTTATGCAGAAACATCCCTTACAGCCACGACATTTCCTCATATGCTATCGACTATATAATCATAATGCTAAAACTGTAATATGTTTCAGGTATGAAGCAGGACTGGGAAGTGAGCGAGGACTGACAGATGTTCTTCCATTCACAAAAGTCACTTTGTCCAACGGACTGTTTGTAGTTCCAAACCTACACTTGGAATCTGGAGCCCTCATCTTTGTCACTGTCCGCATTTTCAACAAAGCCGGTCTGTTCACAGTGAAAGAAAGTAACCCAGTGGCTATCAGCCCCAAACCCTACCTAGTTGTTTTGGATGGACCAGGATCTGATGATGTTGATAGTCAACATGATCTGACGACCATTCAAGGAAGGTGGGGTTACTCTGATCCCTGTCCAGTGGTATCAGCAGAGTGGGCAGTAGAAGACATCACAGGGGAGATTATCAAAGGCTTTGAACAAACCCCTGGGAATGGTCATAACTTCTACAATGATGAATTGACATTGGAGAATATGAAGACATATAGAGTCATTGTGAGAACCACTGATGCCCTCAACCGCACCATGGTTGGGGGATCTGATGGGGTGATGGTCAAGATTCAGCCTCCAGTTCCTGGGAATGTTCGAGATGGCATTGCTTCTGACATCAACTACCAGCTTCCTACAAATTACCTTGCAGCAAACTGGGATCCGTTTGGAGAAATGAATGATTTGGACCCATCACAAAAAATTGAATACTATGAAGTGGCTGTAGGGAATGACAGAAGATATAAAGACAGGAGATCCAATGTTCATTTCTTTGAGAATGTTGGTCTCAACAGAAGTTATGTCTTTAAGCATTTAAATCTAACCGCAAAAACAGTTACATATTACATCACAGTGAGGGCATACAGTTCTGCTGGAAGTTATGAAGAATCTTTTTCAAATGGAATCCGAGTTGGATTTGGAACAGACATCGTGTCGGGAGATATCGAAGTTGCTGAGTACCAATCCAGCTCCAGTGAAATACAAGTATCATGGTCTGACTTTATATCTGACTTTAACATTCGAAAATATGAAGTTGCTGTTGACACTGAAGAATATACAGAGTCAAATACAAGCTTGGAATGTCATGCTATTGTCTTGCAGCCACCTGTGGCATTTGAGTCTGTCAACAAAGACACAATCAAAACCATAAAGGGTCTTCATTTAAATCATACGGAAGTTTACTTTGTCCTTGTCAAAGCTGAAGATGAGGCCGGGATGTGCCGGATTGCATCCAGTAAAGCAATTACAATTGATACAACACCACCTGAACCAGGACAAGTGATCATTGATGGTGGACGGTCATCTGGTATTCTATATGCCACTCAACTGCACTCTGTACACATAAACATAGCAGGATTTACAGATGAAGAAAGTTCCATAGATTACTACACGGTGGCAGTATTAGGGGGACTTTTCTGCACTGATTCAATGTCATTATCCCCCAAAGACAAAGACGTTTTACGTTCTGTTACTGTTTCAACTTCCGATGCCCACTTCAACGATCTCATGTTAGACACAACCAGGCCATACTATATACAGGTTACATCAGCTAATAAGGCAGGTTTGAAGACGACTGTGACAAGTGAACCTATTTTAGCAGATTATAACCCTCCAGTTGCTGGAAACATAAAAATTGGGTCAGATTGGAGGTACAGTTCAAGGTCTTGGGGCGATACGAACCTGTTACAAGGCACAATTCTCATAAATACCAACATACACGATTCAACATGTAAAACCGAAAGAGAACTACTGAATAATGACTTTAAAAAGGAAATAGTGATTTTGGATGATGTCTTCCAATCGCACGCTGTTGATATTGCAGATGATAACCGTGTGAAGATATATGCACGACTTGACCCCTCGCTGCAACTGTTTGAAAAAGGAGGAGTCAAAACAAACCCAAAGCTGCTGACAGAAGGCAACTATTCATTTTCTCTTCAGGCTACAGCACGACACAACGTTTCATCTATTATAGGTCTGGTTCAAGAAAGTCTTCCAAATCCTGATGATATCTTAAAGGCTTATGCAAAGATATTTATAGATAATTGCAATGGCAGTGCATGTTCTAATGGCAACAGGACTGTAGTAACTGATGAAGAGAGTTGGAACCTTGGCGTTCTCTTGACTATGAATAACATCTCAGAGCCCCTTATTCTGTTCTGGGCCAAGGATAAATCCAGAATCAAAGTTCATGATGTCCATGTAGACTTTGATCCAAGTTTCTCACTGAACGACTTTTCTCTTCAAGCAATAAATGATTCAACACCATCAACAGATTCGTGGGATATAAATCTATTCATCAACGGTCAGTTGAAGGGGCAACATGCTGGGCTGAACATTCAAGGATACGTTGTCGCCTCTGTGTTATCCTGGAACAATGATGGATTTATTCCACAAGTGGATGATCCGTTTGACCCATTCACAACTAACCTACTCCTGTCATCACTGAGACTACCGCTCCCGCAAATACACCCATGTAGGTACGGACGGGCATTTTATGATTCACAGAGCGGGATCAAAGATATTTCCATTGGTCTGTCAGATTCTCAGAACACAACTGCAAACATAGTACCTTATACGAAACAAATGTCATTTTGTGTTCCTTGCAAAGATCTTTGCAAAGAAAGTTGTGGCTTTGAAGGTTCCTGTTCCAAGAGTACAGACCAACAGGGATTATCAGTAAGGCATTTCGAACTCAGCAACTTGACACTGATTCCCTCTCGGATGACTGATCGAATTAACTACACTGATTCCCAAGCCAGTGCCTACTATTTTGATGTGAAAGTAACTGATCATGCTGGTTATGAAAAACAAATCAAGTCTAACGCAATCATCATTGACACAACACCCCCAGTGGTGACTGATGTCACTTGCTTTGATCCGGAGTACTCGCTGTATGAACCTGCACTCTACATTGGAAATGATCATGCTGTCAGTGCTAAGTGGGAGATATCAGAGGATTTCAGTGACATCAACGCTGTCTTTGTTGGAATTGGAACAAAATGTGGACTAGATGATATTGTTCAAATACCCCTTCAAAACAGACTGAAGAATGTAACACTGAATTCAACAAACGAAAGTCTTCAACAGGATCAAAAGTATTTTGTCGGCGTTACCGTAATAAATTCTGCTGGTCTGAACCACACTGCATGCTGTCCATTTGTCATTGATATTAAATCTCCCACAGTTTCCTCTACTGAACCAGTGCCACTGTTTGTCTCAGCAGAAGATGTAGCCGGACTTAACGTTTCACTTACTGAGTACAATGATCGAGTTGGAATCCAGTGGGATGATCCTCATAGTGATGTGGACTATTTTGGTGAGACAAACCCTGACTTATTGTTTCTTCTTTGTACCTAAATGCATATGTAATATTAGATGATACAGTGTCAAAGTTGGTACAGCTGAAATGCTCGATCACTTTGGTGTTTTTCCCTTTGAACGTTTTGTTATAGGGTCGACTGGACAGGTGTTCTGAAATGCCGTACTTCTATCTATTTCGTACCTACGCTGGGATCCACCAGTCTCCGGTTTGAACCCAATACGTCTACTGATTATGATCCTTGATTTGTCAACCTCAAACATTGTGCATGGTTCAAGGTTACCATCTGTTTCTAATTTTAAAAACGTTTCATTTTCCCACAGGTATGCTTATGTCATTTAAATGATGTTCCAGACTGGCAGCTGGCAAGTGAGGATTCAGCAGACGAAATATATCCAACAATGCGAGTCGGTTCAAACACAACTCGACGTGTCGAGGTCCTGAAGGGGAGATATAAGTCTTTCTCATGGCGCTGTCAACGCTTCAGTGTCTGAATTCCTTAACAGAAACTTCTCTGACGGTCTTAAGAGTGCCGACTTCAAGAATAGTCCTCTAATGCTGGAACCAGGCAAATGTGTCATCCAAACCGTGACTTCTGTCAGTAGAGCTCACAAGAGAAAGGATTTGACGTCACAGAAGACCTGCATTAAACGTAATGTCTTTCTTTAGGTATATGTTGATATTTGTAACATATTTCAACACATTATTCAGCCTCTGCTGATTCCGGGTAATCAACACGGATGGATTAATAGCCTTCACTGGTTTGCCTAGTCCAGATTCAGTTATAAACAGCTTTTACGAAAATATTGCTGAGAAGCATTACAAACAACATTTTATCGTTCATATTAGATGTGCAATCAGTTACTTATTTACTTATTATGATGTGACTTTTGTATTGTCCAGGCAAGAAAGACATGATTGTGAAACAGGGTACCAACAAAACACTTGTGATTGACGGCGTTGTCATCTCAGAGTCATTGGCAAGGCACAATCACTCTGTTTGCACAATATCAGTGGAAGGTAAGGTGATCAGATGATTAGACAGTAGCGTCAGTTCTGTCAAGCACAAACTCTGCAGTTAATACTAATGTATTTACATGGTTTGACCCGTCCTAAATTTCGAGACAATTGCGGTATTTTTTTTCTGTATATTCTGCAATATGTGCAATGTACCCATACTGTTGTGTAGTTTCCAGTGGCGCCCTAGCGGTCGGTGTACTGAGCAAGACCGATCAACACATGGCCTACGGTGCTCCAGCCGCCGCGGATTATTCCCCTTACATCGTCAGCCCCGACATCACCTCGACACAGCTGTCCCGGTTTCTCACTGGAAGGTGAAGTTTTGTGTTTTTGTCTCTGAAGCAAGTGCGTGTACACATATCAGAATTGTCAATGCATTGTATTTCTGTTCACATGAATCATGGGATATCAACACCACTTCTACAAAAATGTTCACATCCGAAGTATGACATAGTATAGCAAATAATCATTATTTAGATTTTAAGCATGTTCATTTAATTTGTTTGTTCAGAGTCTACAGTTTTGTTAGTCCTGCATTCTACCTGTCGCCGATCAGCAATGTACAATTAACAGAAGACATCAACGTTGATTTGCCAGCATCCCCAGCTGATGAACACCAGGAATCAGCGATCATTCTGTGGGACTCAGGTACAAATACGTCTGTATAAAACCCTTTAAGCATATCTGCGTTGTTTCGCATTTTGAAAGGAATGAGTTGGTATGGTGTTACGCCACTTTTAACTATATTAACATTTTATGGCAGGACAGCCAAAATGGGCTCAAATATTTAACCAATGGGGGGGTCGAAACCAGTTTTTTGGGCGAATTCGATTATATCCACTAGGCTCTCCTGCCGTCCCATTCTGAATATTGTTCATTATGATACTAATCGAGTTCCTTTCTGTACACAGGTGACAAGGTCTGGCGCCATGTCAGTGAAATCTGCGGTACTGTCCCTTTCAAGAGCAACGCCACCACGCGTGATCCTCATGCAATACAGGTGAGTTATATATGTCGGTATGCACTGGTGCATATCCATATATTTTTGGGTACCTTATGGTATTTATGTCGAGGACAATATACCATCTGCTCCAATTTATGCCTTCTACGTGTCTCAGTTGGTTCATTACATTTTAGAACGTGCATATGTGCATATTATATGCAACGAAAGACTCAATTTTCTTACTCAAAAATATAGACATGAAGAATGAAAACAAATGGCTTCACGTCAAATTTTATACAATATGGGTTAGATAAAGCAAACGAAGGTGCTATGCAGGTTGGTGCTATTTTCAGTATTCAAAAACATGGCGTTGACCTTCTCTGTTGGCTATCGGGTCAGAGTTCACCATCGGGAATAGGGGAAATAACTCGGACAATTGTTACATTTTTTAACAAAAGCTGTTTAACAGCGAGGTATTTGTAACCGTAACGTACACTAGATCCAGATTGCGTGCCGTAATCGCTACTTTTTTTGCTGAACTTACTGTAGTTTAGGCTGTATTGAAACTGGACCTTTTTGAGGGATGTCACGTACTGTTTCATATCGATCTGCACGTGTGATAACCTCTATCAGATCTGTCTTTACCAATTTACCTTTAGGTTTTCGGGTTCATTATCATGCTATAACTCATGTGGTATACTGTTTAAATCTCCCTTTTATGACTATGATAGTATTGATTAGTGGCGGATGTAAATCGCCTATTCCGATCACCTAATCATAATGAACATATCATTTTGTTTTCAGATCTGCAATTTAGTATTTAAGAGAAGCTTGACAAAATCAAATACACGTCCGAAAAGGGCAACGCTTCCTTTCTCGAGTCCAAGAATGTTTTCCGGAGCAATTGTGTCTAAACATGTGAACAATACACCTCCCATCATTGACACCAGTGTTATCCAATGTGTCGAGGACAGCTTTGTGGAGCAAGTCATCAAGTACCACGATCTGCAGCATGACAATTTAACATTTACAGTAGCAGAGCATCCTCATCATGGTGAAGCCAACCTCACAGCAGAGGGAATGCTATCCTACCTACCAGAGAAAGATTTTAATGGCTATGATAGTATTCTCGTAAATGCAACCGAGGTATTCATACATGATCTGGGAATACAACCAGCTACATTTACCAAGAGAATACACATCAGCGTGTCAAATGTTAATGATCCACCTGTCACTTTCTACCAGAGGGACACCCAGTCACCAATACCATCATTTGTTGAAAGTATTCACAAAGTATATGTTGAAGGCAATCTAACGGATCACTCTCTGGGTTCGTTTTGGGTCGCAGATGTTGATGACCCTGAAGACTTGACAATCATTCAAAAGGATGTAAGTAGTCTGGCAGCCAACTTTACACTTACACAGGTTGATGCGGCTGGGGAAGATGGAGAGACATACAGAAACATGTCCATGATCTACTCAGGAAACACTATCACCAAACATGACTTGAAGCTGAAGTCCCTCAAGGAATTCCACGGGAGCCTCCAGTTCTCACTACTCGCTGTTGATACGAATAAGAGCTACAGCCACGCCCTGTCCATCCACGTGTTTGTCCTCATCAACACATGCTACCATGGTAGCTGTGCTCCAAGAAACCCGTCTTTACCATGTGAACATCCAGGCAGAGCAAGCAGCTTTCAGGCCTATAGCTGTGAATGTGTAGCTGGTTACGAAGGACAGTTCTGCGAGAATGAAATCAACGAATGTCTGAAGGCCACCTGTTCCCTTCTGTATGATTGTGAAGACAGATTGGCGACCTATGACTGTGTCCTGAACATCCCGAAGATTCTTGCTATACTTGTCTGCATTCTTCTGCCCTGCCTAGGTGTTATCTTTTACATAAGTCGCAAGTACAAGCAAATTAAACCCCGATCAAAGGTCTGGTAAGTAGCATTTCCACTTTTACTTTGGCTTTTCTTTTACATTATCGCAATAGACATGGTAATATCTGATTGTTTTTTTTTGTCTGATTAGGCAGATCTGACAGTCATCACTTGTTTACAGTTTGTTTTTACATGTTGCATACTTCACATTGATAGTATCTCAATACGTGCCTAAATGAGCGTTTTTTGTGGCGTCGCTATTTAAGGTGTACATTTTTGTTTGAAGGAATTTGCCAGACAACACTCCAGATACACAGACGAATCCTGTATACCTAGCAAGATGCACATCCACCACGGAAGAAGTAAAGCAGGAGACGACTTCCGGGTCGCCTTTCAGCAAGAAAGAAGTAATTAAGGACAAGACACCTGCTGCTTTTCAAGAGAATGGCAGAAGCACGCCTGCCTTGTTCATGGGTCCAGGACACGCAAGCATGCCTCACAGGAAAACAATCTACTCCACCCAGTGGAGCTCAGATAAAACCCTTCCTAGAGTTGTTGATTGAAGCAACAGTATCCAAAGTGTCGAATGTTGCAGTGTTTGCAGTGTAGATGTTCTAATAAACGCTAAGCTTCTTTTGTAACTCATATTAGAGGAACCCGAATTGTCTGAGTTAACGCTATCCATATTTCGAAATATTTTATATATGTACATGAAATGGAAATCATCTAAGACACGAAATATATTTCATTAAGAAATAAAACATCTATATGGACAATTTGAAAGTGTTAAAATTAAAGCTATTGATAACCTGTATATGGATAAAGACTTACTTAAGATCATATTTATAATGTCCATGAGAGCCAAGATTGCTCAGATTGCCCTATGTATATTGAGATGAGTGTGAAGATGTACAAAATATAATCCCACCATTGCTAGAAATTGTTCATAACACATATTGCCTTTTTGCAGATTGAACCCGTGTTTGACAAAATGCTGTTGATAATATTGATCAGAGTTATCTATATAATTATATTAGTTGTCAAGAAAACCGAGTGTGTGCCAATCTGAGCCTAAGGTTTAACTCAATAAATATTGATATCGCCTTCTTTGTTATTATCTTGATTTGATACCGAGCATGGCTATAATCACCACTTGTTTTAATAGGCTACCATTACTATTAGATCATGCAATGTTATTTTTTTTCTGGAAAAGACTGTTACCAGAGATCTATAACCAATTTCTGTAGAAGGATGGACTGACGGAGAATCGTACAAAAGTGATTAAATGTAATCAGTACTAGCACACCCATAAGTGGCTCTTCAACATTGCCACCATCAAATTGAATATTCAGCTTGAACTGAAGGAGACATACGCTACCTTTATTACAATCAATAGCAATGACTTGTAACAATTGCATACAGTTTAATTCATCTGAAAGAGCATCATCTTTTTTCCACTAAATGCTTCTTGTAGTCCAAGAGGAGTTTCCACATATTAGTACTTAAACTGGCCAAATATTTGGCTGGGTATTTTGGAAAAAAATCTGTACCAACAACAACAACAACAACAACAACTCTTTTTGTTTGTGGACAGTGACACAAACAATCAAGGGTCATTATATTTCAAGGTCAGACAGTCAACACAGAAGGTGCGCTTACGTTTAAAACGAAATATGAACAGAAATCTAAATATTGAATTCTTACTTATTTTCAGCTTAGTGGAGCTATGCAGAAGAACTTAATGCTTGAGTGCGGATTTGCGTTGCGTTTAGCATTATTACGATTATGTGTTAGCATGTTTTTGGACGAAAGCCTCACTCACTCACTGACTCACGCACGACTAATTAACGTCTGATGGTCATAAACTGCTCTTGTATAATATACACGTTTGTTCGAAAACGTGGTTTCCCAATTATGATTATGTAACAGGAGAGATCTGCCTTCTCTTGTGAATAAATTGTAATCGATCTTCTAGTCAGGCGATATAGCGATGGCCCGAACAAGCCGCCATTCCAAGGACTGTTCGTCATTCGATTTCTCGGAAATCTATATTCTCCGGGAACAGACTGCGGCTGAATATAGACTTCTTTTGACATGATCTGAACACTCGCCTTTCTGTTGCAAACGCCCTGAAAAGAAATTCAATGGATATTTTTTTCCACACCTGTGATGTAGAGGTTTCTTTCAACTTTCGTTCACAATCAATGCTATGCATGAATATTTTACGCAAGTGTGTGTATATGGATCGGTAACGTCTCATTACGTAATGTTTGTATCTACAACACTTGATCCACAGGGCCAGACCAAGCAACCCGCCAAGATCATCGACAGCTAGATTGCACGGCAACAGTCTATTTCTGTCCTATGAGAACGATGAACTGCAAAGTAACCCAAAATCTTGAATAGTCTATTTAATGTCAACATGGTACACGGCATCGAATACCCTAAGTCTTACTGACATGTACCTTTTTCTGACTGAAGTTTATTAATAGCACGTCTGACTTCATTTTTTTCAAACTGAGTACTTTATCAACACTAAATGGATATGTTGTGCTGAAGCGAAGCCATATTAGTTAGTATGATAATATTTTTTCCATCATATCCATATATCATTTCAAGCAATGTATCGCTAGTTGTTGTTCCTTGGATTCTGCTAAATTTGGATATGCTATTTATACTTTAAATTAGGTGCATGGTTCAATGGTATCCTAAACAGTTTGTTATTACTGAAGCGGCTGGACTGTACACATCATCTACCGTTTCGTGTATACCGTTCCGAATGAAATGCCTTCTATGCAAACCGACAGCTACAGAAAAGTGATGGTAGACCAGCACCAAATATGTCATATAACCACTTTGACTGATCTGTGGTGGGTGATATATATTATTTTTTATTATTATAGGATATTTATATAGCGCACGTATCCACGCACTAGTGCATGCTCAAGGCGCTGGTATTTTTCCCTCCATCATTGGATGTCAATCTCAACGTCATATCTTATTATCAATCTCAACTCCCTGGGGATCATACAGCACTTGCACCCACTAGATGCACCGAGTTATTATGGCTTTGCCATCCTTTCGAGGTACCCATTCACAGCTGGGTGGACTGGGACACATAGTCACAGTACTTTGACCAATTTTACTGCACGTTGCTGTACCCGCAACTAGGTGTTTGCACGTATTCATGTGGCCACCATCTGGTCATATGCCAACGGATTCGTGGGTTCTTTTAAGTGCACAGGGTTGTGTACTGTACACTAGCGGTTGTGACAACACTGAAAGAGTCTGCACATAAAGCTGACTCCAAGGTTTTTACACCTGGTCACAGGTGGACTCGATCCCGGGACCTCCAAGCTCGCTGGATCACTAGCCTGACACCTTAGACAGCTCGCCCACCATATACCGCATATCTTACACATATATCACCGAGAACACAATATACATCACTCAGAGCGAGAAGCTGGGGAGAGTGTTTGTCGGATATAGTACATCGCTCAGAAGATATGGTCGGAGAGGGTGTATATCGGATATATTACATCACTCAGAAGAAATGGTCGGAGAGGTTGTTTTTCGGATATGTGATTATATCATTCAGAATGAAAGTAAGGTGGTGAATATCGTCGTATAACTCATATCACACAGAATGAAAGGGGGGCGTGGGTGTAGACAATATGTTTTATACATCACTCACAATGTTTTGCTACAAACATCTGCGGACCATAGCTAAGGTAGAACATCAACTCTTACATTGAGCTCACGAAATCCAATTGTACATAATTTGTTATCCCATTCGACAGCAGCCCTGTCCTGAGCCTTCAAACTTTATAAGCATATAGTCAACTTTAAGCACAATACTTATGACACATTGTCTTTAATTCATGCATACGTATATTTGGTTCGAAGGGAAGAAATGAATATTGAAGAAGTACAAAATTCGCAAAGCTGGTGCAAATACGCAGCCAATATCCATGTATTACTAACTCAAGGACGGTTTCATCCACGGTGACATATCGGGCAATAGTCTAGTAATAATCATATGTCACGAGAATCTACGTAGAAAGAATTTACAGCTAAAAATAAAACACATGATCGGCCTATTGTCTGACTAAATTCACAATAATCATTTGAATAGCGAACTAAAGTTCACTGGGAACAACCAGTTTCCCCTTATCATAAACTGGTTGTTGCCATGTCTGGCAGTACATGCCAGGAAAGCCTTGTGTTAATGAAGACTTGATCACTGTATGGACACGAAGGGACGTCGAAGCATTCAACCAAAGCAGAAAATCTTGAATTTTTATTGAATATAAAACACATACAAGTCACCATTACATTAAATTAGAGAAAAACCCATAATATACTATCCCAAAAAGAAACGCATATGCGTTTTGTATTTTGAGAAATCTATTAATTACCTATTGTGGTCAGACAATCGTCAAGATATGTAACAAAAGTGTTGATAACATGGTTTTACACAATTGCACAAGTAAAAAATCGACTTTACCTGAAAATGTTGATTTTGATGAGATTTGTTACAAAGATTAAAAAGGCATCGCCACAACGCAACAGCAATCAGCGTCCAGTTGACATTGTGCAGCAAACAGCATGCATTGTCTGTCTATAAACATCCAGGTTACTTTCAGAAATCGGCATTCTTTTTGGAGGAGTTTCAAGTTCAAATGACTACGCTACGTCTTGACGCTGCGACACAGAACATCGCCATCGAAAGAATCTACGCTGGAGATTAACAATCTTCTGTTGCCACGCGTCTGAATTTTTGTCTGAGCACGATATCACGATTTGCAGCTCCTTACTACCAAACAGGTATAACAAATGACCGTCCCCGTACAGGCAGACCTCCAGTCTCCACTGCAGCCCAAGATCGGTACATCCGGGTACTACATTTGCGTGATCCTACTGCCACAGGTGAGAGCACAGCAGCCAGGGTGCCTGGGCTTCGGAGGATATCCGGTCAAACTGTACGGAACAGGTTAAGAAAGATTTGACTGAGAGCCAGGAGCCCCGACATCGGGACCGTGCTACGTCGTCACCATCGCGCTCAACGTGTCCGTTATCTTAAATTATCCATTTGGTTGTATAGACATTTCCTTCTTCTGAACTGATGTAAAGATTCATGAACTAAAGTGTATTTGTAGACGAGTTATACGTGTTTGAAAATACAACATTTTCGCAACAGATTTCTGGGTTATGCGTTTCTTTTTTTGAATAGTGTAGATGATGATCAAAAAGGTTTGCATGCCCATATAATTTACATGTAACAACAAATTAAGTTTTAACAAGTAGTATGTAATATCACAGTAGTTCATTACTGCAATGGATTGTGACAGTTCATTTATACTTTGAAAACTGATACAGCGTTTTGTAGTACATAGTGCATATTGATTACTGAACAACTAACTGAATGATTTAGCAATACAAATGCCAAGCCACGAAAGAAGAGTAACTGTCTTACACTGGAAAGCCAATACATGTATAATTCATAATCAAGGCAGGTTTACAGATGGTAAGGCTTCCTAAGGTCCCTGTGCAGCTGCACTGTCTTCGGTCAAGTGCTAGAAGGTATGTCTGGATCAAATCTCATGGAGTCTTCTTCAACACTCTACGATTTTGTTTGCTGACTTTGTTTACATCTCCGTTTATTAATCAGTTCAAACACAAGGACTAAGAGTGCTATGGCCACCCCCAACCCCGCACTGTAGAAGGCGCTCTGCAATGCTGATAGATCCACTCTCTTTGCGTTTCTGCTTGAAGGCTCACATTGATGTTTGGGTTTCAACCGTTTCCACCACAGATCCAGAAGGCCGCTTTCGAATACCTTCAATATTCTGTGAAGGTAAATATAAAGTATAAAGATTATATATTGACAGAACATTTGTACATCATACAATCTTACAAGAATAAAGATTTCTATAACAGTTATTTAATTCATCTTTGAGTCGGTCAGACCCAAAAGATGAAGCATTGTGCAAGGTTGCAATTTACCTCCAGCAAGGAATGATGTTGTTAGATGTGACTAACGGGATCGGGTGGTTATGTCATACATGTTGCTTTTCTCGTATTCCAGTTGCGTAAAATGATC